GTTGAAATATATTTAGCGAATTGTCATTCAAACCACAGAAGAACATGAAGAGAGAGAGAGGAGAATAGGTTTCTTGGTTGCGTAGTGATTTCATATTTTTCAGAGTTATTTAACTGTCAAAGTAATTAGCTATTAAAAAGGCATATTAGGTCAGTGAGAGCAGCTCTCCTGGGCCAGGCTATAATTGTTTTTTATGATAAACATAATCTGAAGTGCTTTCTCTAGGCAGAGTTTAAACTCTGCAAATGAAAAGGCATGTACCCCCCCCCCGAGGAAAAATTCCACAAATCATCCCATCTCCCTGTCTCACACAATTATCTGAACACCCATTTTGCAAATTACGATGTGTAATTGTAAGGATAGGAAGTTGTTTTGTAGTGGCAAAGTGTGCATAACATCACTCAGGGCACAAACTTTATCTGTTGCCCTTCATCCCCATAAAAACACAATATAAATGCTGTGCAAATGATATTAAAACGGTGCAATGAAAATTATGATAATGACGGCAGGACTATCACTCAATTGACATCATGTCAAGGGGCTGCATTTCTGGCCTGGAGCAACTACATCTATTTTCCTGTGTATGCCTGTTTGGTATGGCTTTACTGAATGACTCATGGAGTCATGAAATGTAAGGCATGTGACATGTGTCAATCACCTCGTTAACCAATGCACTTTACTGTGGCGGTCAGACAGGGAGAGTGGGTAAGGCTCCAGAGCCAGGTGCTCAGGCATGCTCTCTCTTCCTGTTTCTGGGCAAAACTTGAAGATCTTTTAATTTCATATGGGATTTCTCGTCTTGCAGCAATCCAGTCAGAGCTATTGCATGGCAGCTGCCCCCTCCCATCCTTTCTCTCTAAGCTGCTGGATGCCTGTGCATCCCAAACATTTTTACTGCATAAAAAATTTGATTTTGCAAGCACTCGCATTGCACCTATACAGCACATTGCAGCTAGGCTGACTATTCTGGGACACACAGCATGGTCAATACTGTACAGTCAATCTACAGAGCATCTTCTTTTTGCTCTTGAAATAAGTAGAAGTTTATCACTCTGTGCTCTCTCGCAGAATGGTTGTGCAGTGGATGGTTGTTGGATGTGATGCTTTCTGGAAGACAGCAGGGACACACTGTGTCCAAATTCCTGGTGGAAATATCGCAGCCCAGCAGAAGTTCAAAGCTGGCATTTCACTGTTAAACAAACAATATGAGTACTCGCTCTGGGGGAGGAAAGCAGCTCGATGTTTGGATGCACCTATGTCTCTGAGCTGATCCGTTTGAGCCATGTTAGCTTGAAGGCTGCATAAGGTATTAGGAAAACTTTGACCATCTAGCAAAGGCCATCACACCTCATCCACTCCTTTGGCAAGGGCAGCAGTCCATGCCTGGCTGCAATGTGTCTACCAAAAATGTATCTGATGATTTCAGGAGGCAGAGAAATCCTTACTTCCAAAAAGTTTGTTCCTGCCTTGTTGTTTTATCATGGTGTTTGTTTTTTAACCTTTGAAAAAGTTATGATCATTGATGATAAAAGTCTGTTTAAACCAGGATGTGATGGTCTCAAGCCAGTATGCTCCATATCATCAAGATGGAAAAAAAAATCTACACCTTACCCACACACAGCAATAGCTCACAGCCTGACTAGGTGACCTCAGCAGAGAGGACTGGTTTGGTTTACAGAATTGTTAATCTTCTTAAAATTTTGAGGCAGGTCAAGACACCATGCTGCTTGTAACTCAAATACTTTCTAATTTCAGCATTCTACTTTCCTTAATGACTCAGTAGCTGGGAAAAAACTGAAGGAAATCCACAGCAGTGGATGGCGAGATGCAGTTGGATCATAAAAACTGCCAGACAATTGTAAAGAGAGCACTTGATATTTTTGCATACTTCTTTGAGAAATAAGTTTAAAAGGAGAACTTTCAAGAATGTCGATATGTTCACCAAGAAACCAGCTTGTACAAAGGCGGGCTTTTATTCTGCAGTACTTATGCACGTGTTTAACTCAAAATGGAATGAGTCAAGAGCTCAAAATCAGGCCCACACGCACAAGCCTTTGCAGGCAGCAGGACTCTGCAGATGGCACATACACAGCGTTTTACAGGGTCAGTGTCACACGGATCACAACATTTCCAAACACTGCATCTAGACAGAGTTCAGATGTTTTGAAAATTCTGATACTCTCTCTAGTTTATACACTAATTATCTGATACCAGGTAAGCACTGTGTCTGGCCCTGTTAGGTATACCTCTGATCTCTATTAGGCATTAAAACTCTTTATAAAAAGAAAACGCAGTGGGAAAAATAAACTTCAGAAAAGATATCCAAGAGAATTTTTGTTGGGTGCAAGAAAGGGTTTTAGGCAACTTCCATTTGCTGCATTGTTTCCAAAAATAATTAAACCCTTTCAAAGTTTATGCTTCTCTTGACATTTCTGAGATACAAAAGTACTGAAAGGCAAGACTGGGAGCCACAAAGGTACTTAAGTGCTTATTGTTTAAGTGAGGGTTAGTCCACCAAATACTTCAAGCATCTGGGCATGCATGTCCCACTCTTTCACAAGACCTTTGAGGCACAACAGAGACCAGATATCAAATTTTTTGAATTTTAAATTGCCTTAAAAGTCAGCCTAACTTTCATGCCTGGCTAATGCCGAATTTTCCTGGGTTAAACGGACTTTGCTAAAGATCTGAAGTTGTCACTCAAGGCAGAAATAATTTCAGCAGGGCAATGGGACCCAACTACATTTCTGAGGATGTCTAGTCATGTGTACTTGCCATTGCCAATATAAAATAAATGAATGGATGCTATTAATGAAATCTGAGTATTTGCCAATGTTCCAATGTTAAATATAAGGAGTAACACAGCCAAAATCTTTCCCTTATCTGTGTTTCAAACTTGCCTGCTACCATCCTTGCCAATGGGTGTGAGTTTTGAACCAGATGCTTTAACAGCAAATGATTCAAAGTGATCTTGCTTGAGCTGAAGAGTGAACTCTCCTTTGCTTGTGGCTTAATAACTCTGATCCTCCTCTGCTTCTTTTAAAAATTCTTATTTCAGATAAGATTACAACAGAGTTCAGCAAGAAATAAAAAGCCATTTACATCATTCATATTGTTTACTTAAATTTTAGCATTACATTCATATTAGATGATGGAAACTAACCTGTTTGGCTACACGTCTTCCCTTGTTTAAATAGCACCATGCTGCAGTATGTGGGATTCAGACATGGCACAGCAAGTACCTCCACTCAAGCAAACTGTTTTCTCGTGTTGGGATACCATTTCTAGTTAACTGCTTGGGGGAAAAAGAAAACAAAAAAAAAAAAAAAAAGACAACTCTCCTCCATTTATTTCTCTCCAAGCATTTTGTACGGCTGCCTGTGACTGTAACATTTGGATGCATTCCACACTGAATTCAATGGCAATAGCAGAGTCCACAGAGCGCCTGTCTGCTGAAGGCTTCATTGCCTGAGGAAAAGATCCCTTTGGAAACCCACAGAGGGGAAAGGATGGAGGAGAATGTTACTGTGGATGGGGTTTTGTTTACAGTGGCAAAGTCTGATCTGAGAAACGTTTCAAAGTTCTCAAAGACAGATCTAGGTTCAATTAGTCTCCTTTAAGAGATGTAAATTACTAATTGCATTGTGCTCTTTTTAGCCAGTCAGTTGACTAAATTACACAACGCTTCATTTTGCAGAAATACAAAGTATTCCCAGACAAAGTAGATCACAGTTCTCAAGCAGCTGATTGAAAACTGTGATGCCGGGAGAAACCTTGAAAACAATATAACGCTCCAAATCTGCTTAGAAATTTCATAGGGTAATAGCATTCTGCTCCCGTAAAATACCCAAATCCTTCTACACCACCATGTTTCAAAACAGGAATTATATAACGTTCGACACTTAATGAACTTTTATTGACATCGGTGCGACTACTCATGTTAAAGCTCTTCTATGCGCATTTTAAAGCTGAAGAGCACACGGGCAAGGGAAACTGCAGCGATGCCGCGATGCAAAAGAGAGGTTCATAGCCTAGCTCTCCGAGCCTGCAGATTACAGATTTGCCTCTGTCCTAATTATACACTCCATCTCCGCGCATTAGCATGGAGCCCAGAAACCCTGACTCATCATTCCTAACAATCCCGGCGACCTGAGGCAAACACACACACACACACACACACACACACACACACACACACACACACA